AGGCACCTATCCGATCTCACATCAAATTTCCTAATCTGTGTGGACGTAGGGGAATAATGAGAAAGTAAAAGTGGGTTTACATGAGGACTGCGGAGTCTGAAAACCAAATGGACACAACTGAAAATACTGAAGACTGAAAATGACAATCTGTCTTCCAAGTACTCATCTTTCAAATCCCTAATACCATCTTAAAGTGTTTTGTTTGTTGAAAGAACAACAAAGCTTAAATTGTCTAGATAGAATTAGATTTATTCAATATAACACAAGCAGGTAATACTAAGAATAAAAGGACTTCCTAACACTTAGAGAAGTTCAACAATAGAAATCTCTAACCAATGAAAATGTCCAGCTCAAGCCCTAGCCAGTTTGGCTCAGTGGATAGAACGTCGGCCTTCTAACTGAAAGGCCCCAGGTTTGATTCCAGTGAAGGGCACAAGCCCGAGCTGTGGGCTTGATCTCCAGGAGGCAGCCAATGCATTAATCTCTCCCTCTTCCTTCCTCTCTGAAATCAATAAAAATTAAAAAAAAAAAAATTTTTTTAAATGCCCAGCTCAAAGTGCAGTGAATCCCCTGTTGCCAGGACATGCTCAATGAGGTGGGTGCCTGACCTTTCTGGTGCTCTATTATAGCATTAGGTTGGAGAGTGTGCCGAGTGTCTTCACCTTTTGTTTTTCCTTTTTAGTACTTTTCACAGAAAGATGTTAGTCTAACCTCCTTGGGAATTTTTTTTAATCCTCACCCAAGAATATGCTTACTGATTTTAGAGAGAGGGGCAAAGGGCTGTTGAGGGGGAAAATGAGAGAGAGAAACATCTATGTGAGAAAGAACATCAATTGGTTGCCTTCTGTACATGCCCCAATCAAGCCCAAAAGTTAGGTATGTGCCTTGACCAGGAATCAAACCCAAATCTTCTATTACACGGGACAATGTTCCAATCAACTGAGCCACATGGGCCAGGGTTTGGGAATTTAAAAAAATAATTTCACTGTTTTTTAAATACTAAAGGATAAAGATGCAACTTTAAATTGAAATATATTTAGCCCTGGCCAGTGTTTCTAAGCAGTTAGAGCATGGGCCCTTCCCATCAAAGGGTTGAGGGTTCCATTCCAGGTCAAGGGCACAAACCTGTGTTGAGAGTTTAATCCCCACCCCCGGTGGGACACATGTGGGACATCACTAATTTATGTGAAGGCAATCAATCAATGTGTCTTTCTCACATCAATGGTTTTGCTGTTTCTCTCTCTCTCTTTTTTCTTCTCTCCTTTCCACTCCCTCCTTTCCACTCTTCTAAAATCAATGGAAAAAGTATCCTCTGGTGAGGATTAACAAAACAAAACAAAACAAAAAAAATGTTTAAGAAGTGTTCTGCATCTTGATTTTAATATTACCTTAACGAGTAATTAAAGTGAGAGAAATATTTACTTTTTCCAACTGACATCTGAAGAATTTGTTTATTAATTATCAGAAAAAGCATCATGCTATCAATCAATTTTTAAATGAATCATGTTTAATCTCAGGTCCGAACATAATTAGAATGATTAAGTGAGAAACATTATTGTGCTCATTAACTGTAAAAATGTGTACTTCTCTGGTTCTTCCTAACAATAGACTCCACGTCATCAAATATATCAAATATTTTTTAGATTGGTTTCTGGGCAAAAGATACCAAATGTGCCCTAAATGTTTTCCCATGCAGAACATTCATTAATATGTAATTACTAGAGGCCCAGTGCATAAATTCGTGCACCAGTGGGGTCCCCTGGCCTGCAGGATCAAGCTGAAACTTGCTCTCTAACATTCCCTGAGGGGACCCGCATTGCAAAAGGGTGCAGGCCAGGCCAAGAAACCCCAGGAGTGCATGACTGGGGCTGGGGAGGGACACAGGAGATTGGCCAACCAGTGAGGGGAGGACTCCAAGGCCTGTCCAGGCCATCTCACTCAGTCCTGATCAGCTGGACCCCAGAAACAAGCTAACCTACCAGTAGGAGCGTCTGCCCCCTGGTGGTCAGTGCATGTCATAGCAAGCAGTTGAGCAGCCTTAGCATATCATTAGCATATTACACTTTGATTAGTTGAATGGACAACTGGATGACTGAACACTTAGCATGTTAGGCTTTTATTATATAGGATAGAGGCTTTGCTTTTAAAACTTACTAGATGCTTTTAGACTAAAAATACAAAAATTAGAATATGAGATGTTTTAAATTCTTGGGACTTTTTAGGCGGTTTCTTTTTCAATTTTTCAGTCTTGTTTCTAAATTGAAAAGATAAGAGATTTCAAGCTACTATTTCCTAAAATGACAATGGAAAAGCAAATCAATGATTTTATAGGATTTTCAACAGATGAATTCATGTTATCCTAATTTGCATAATTACTTTCATTATTTTTTTTCTCAGTCAATTAATGTAGTTCAGTATTTTTTAAGCTTTTTATCTTCCACCAATAGATTATGGGAATTAAACTATATAAATAATAATGCATATTTTTAAAACTGTATAATGGTGAAAACCATCATGAAAGGAATAGGTTTGAGGTTTTGGTAGATAAACTGACTATCCTGGGGTTTCTCCACCCACATTGTCCTTGTCCCGTGGTCGGCAAACTGTGGCTCTCGAGCCATGTGCGGCTCTTTGGCCTCTTGAATGTGGCTCTTCCACAAAATACCACGACCTGGGCGAGTCTATTTTAAAGGAGTGGCATTAGAAGAAGTTTAAGTTTGAAAAACGTGGCTCTCAAAAGAAATTTCAATCATTGTGCTGTTGATATTTGGCTCTGTTGACTGAGTTTGCCAACCACTGCCTAATCCTTTGTCTTTCTCTTTGTTGACTTTCTCCCATGTTTGTCTCATAGTTTTTGTTGTTGTTTTAAGGTGGATGGAAAGTACTTGCTTTCTTGTATGTGTGTTTTCATTCTGCCCTTGTACTTGATGGGCAGTTTGACGGACTACAGAATCGAGGTTCCAGGTACTGCCCTTGGGGACTTCACTCACATCGCATAAGAGATCCGAGATCTGGCCGCTTTGTCCGTCTGGACCGCTTGGAGTCCTCCTGGTCGTGGTCCTGAGCTGCCTAATGAAGGTTTCGCAGAGTCCTCACAGGCCCCAGTGCTTCTGGGCCGGCAAAGCTTCTCAACTATTTTGGGGTCATTTCTTTCCCACTGGTTTTCTGGTCTTCTTTCCTGGAAGTCTTTGTTACCTGAATGAGTGAATGAGAGAGTGCGTAAGTGAGGAGAGGATGTGAGAGTGACTGGCTGAGGGAAGTGAGAGAACGAGTAAAGTAATGAAGAATGAATGAGTGCACAAGTGAGGGAGGGAGCAGGGAATGAATGAATGGGTGTGGCTGGCTGACTGCAGAAGAGTGTGTGAGAAAAGGAATGAAATAAGTGCATAAGTGAACAAATGAGTGCATGAAGGAGCAAATGAAGAGTAAATGGAGGAGTGAAGGAGTGAATGAGTGAATGAAGGAGCAAAGGAGTCATGGATGAAAAGTGGATGAAGGAGTGAAGGAGTGGATGAAAAGTGAAGGAGTGGATGAAGGAGTGAAGGAGTGGATGAAGGAGTGGATGAAGGAGTGGATGAAGGAGTGAAGGAGTGGATGAAGAAGTAGATGAAGGAATGAAGGAGTGGATGAAGGAGTGGATGAAGGAATGAAGGAGTGGATGAAGGAGTGAAGGAGTGGATGAAGGAGTGGATGAAGGAATGAAGGAGTGGATGAAGGAGTGGATGAAGGAATGAAGGAGTGGATGAAGAAGTAGATGAAGGAATGAAGGAGTGGATGAAGAAGTGAAGGAGTGGATGAAGGAGTGAAGGAGTGGATGAAGGAGTGAAGGAGGGATGAAGAAGTAGATGAAGGAATGAAGGAGTGGATGAAGGAGTGGATGAAGGAAGGAAGGGAGTGATGAGGAATGAAGTTAATGAGGAGTGAGGAGTGGATGAAGGAGTGAAGGAGTGGATGAAGGAGTGGATGAAGGAATGAAGGACTGGATGAAGAAGTAGATGAAGGAATGAAGGAGTGGATGAAGGAATGAAGGAGTGGATGAAGGAATGAAGGAGTGAATGAAGGAATGAAGGAGTGGATGAAGGAGTGAAGGAGTGGATGAAGGAATGAAGGAATGGATGAAGGAGTGAATGAAGGCGTGCAGCCGGCTGACTGAGGCACCCCGCCAGGCACCCGGAATGGGCAGGGGCGCCCCTGAAACGGGCTGGAAGCCGCCCGGTTGTGCCGCAGTAGTAGCTGAGGCGGCCGCCCGGGGCGACAGGTCCGCGGCCACGGGCTCAGGAGCGCGTGAGGCCGCCGCCCTCAGTGTTTCCCCCGCCCCCGCACCCCCCCACCCCCCCCACCCCCCCCCCCCACCCCCCACCCCCCACCCCCCACCACCACAGACCCGGGCAGCGCGGCCCCACAGGGCAGGGGAGGAATGGAGCCCGGCTCCTCCCCGCCAGCCAGCGGGTGAGAAGCGCGGGAGGCGCCCAGGAGAGGCGCGTGGGGGCGGGGCTGAGGAGCCAGTGTGAGGGGCGGGGAAGGAGCCAGTATGAAGGGCGGGGCCTGCGCTTGGGAAGAGGGCGGGGCTAAGGAGGAGCCAGTTGAGGGGCGGGGCCTGCGCGGGGCGGGGGGCGGGGCGGGGGAGAAGCCAGTGTGAAGGGCGGGGCCTGCACGGGGCGGAGGGCGGGGCTAAGGAGGAGCCAGTTGAGGGGCGGGGCCTGCGCGGGGCGGGGGGCGGGGCGGGGGAGAAGCCAGTGTGAAGGGCGGGGCCTGCACGGGGCGGAGGGCGGGGCTAAGGAGGAGCCAGTTGAGGGGCGGGGCCTGCGCGGGGCGGGGGGCGGGACTGGGGAGAAGCCAGTGTGAAGGGCGGGGCCTGCACGGGGCGGAGGGCGGGGCTAAGGAGGAGCCAGTGGAGGGGCGGGGCCCGCGCGGTGCCGCGGGCGGAGGGGCAAGACGGCGCGGGGCGGGGGGAGGCGCCTCACCGCCCAGGCCGCTGGGCCGCCAGTCTCAGACGGACTGCAGTCGGCACGGCTCCGGGGAAGCGGCGGCGGGCAGCCGCGTGGGCATGGGCGACCTGGCGACCTAGTGCCCACCGGCAGCAGCAGGTCTGGCCGCCCGCAGGGCGGGGCCGGAGCCGAGCGTGGGCCGCGGGAGCGGCCGCGCGGCCGGAGCCATGAGCGCCGAGCCCATCTGCAGCGCGCTGCCCGCCGTGCCCTCCCACAAGCTCGCCGACCTGCGCTTCCTCAGCCGCGGCGCGTCCGGCACCGTGTCGTCCGCGCGCCACGCCGACTGGCGCGTGCAGGTGGCGGTGAAGCACCTGCACATCCACACGCCGCTGCTCGACAGGTAGGCGCCCGCCCCGCCCCGCCCCTCGCGCTCCGGCCGCGCCGCCCGGGCTGGGCCGGGCGCGCTGTGGCGGCGAGCGGCGCGGTGCCGGGTGGCGGCCGCGGCTGCTCGCGCGGGAGGGCCGCCCGGGAAGGACTGTCTGCGCGGCCGGAAGCGCGGGCCGCCGGCTCTCGGAGGAGCGGGCGGTTTCGTTTCCAGAGCGCCGGACCCGCCTCGCTCGGGGCAGCCCCTGCCTGCCCCGCTCGCGGCCGCGCCCACTCCCTGCGCCCATCTCACCGGAGGCCCGAGGGCTCCCCGCCGGCTCGCGGGCCCGGCCGCCGCCGCCGCCGCCGGGAGTGTGAGAGCGGAGGGCGGCGGCCGCGCGGGCGGGGGCCGTGCGGAGTGGGCTCTGCGCAGGCGGGTTCGCGCCGAGGCCCTGGTCCTCCCAGAGCAGGCGGCGCCTCCGCCGGGACCTTCATTCAAGTTTGTGCCGCGTGGGCCAAGGGACGAAGTGGAAGTTCCCTTTCCTTACTCATGGACACTTCTCATAATCTAGAATTCTCCGTACGCTAGGAAACTAACTGTCGACAAGCAGCCGTGAGGCGGTGGACCAGCCATCACGGCCCTCTCCCGCGCGCCCACGGGAGCAGCCGCAGCGCAGGCGCCGTCTGAGCCGCTCCGCTCGGATCCAGCGGGAGAGGCTAGACGTGCAATGGCATCCGGCCTGGATGAGGTGTGCGTGTGTCTAGGGGCCACTTGAAAGAAAACTAGTTGATGTTTAGGGATTGGTCAGCCCTCCACACCTGATTTCTGCCCCCGAGAGGGCCTTCCCGGCTCTCCCAGCTCCTTATGTGCAGATGGGACTGGTGTGGTGGTCAAACACCCGGTAGACTAAGGTGACCAGATTTTAACATCATTGACCGGGGGTGGGGGTGGGGGGATGTTTCTTGATTAAAAATTTGGTCTATATGGAGCAACAAAAGTTTTCATAGAACGCAAAAATAGTATTGTGATATATTTTTTAAAATTTCAACATAAGTGCAATTTACAAATACAATAAACAAATAAAAATTATGTATAGTCTAAGTGTCACTTTCAAGGCTGGCGCTAGACTTTTTGCCACCACTATAAAATATAAATTATATGACTACTGTCTGCCAAATTCAAGAAATTTTATGTATTTATGAAATAAATACATAAATTATCTGAATAGCTGATTTGTAATAACATCACTTGTTTAACTAGCTTACTAGCACGCAGTACAATGTGTGTCATCTGAGAGACAGTTACAAAACGTTTTCGTCGTTGCCCATCCCAAAAAATGCCATTGTTCATTAAGTCCAAACAATAGTGGTCGAATTCTAACAACTGATCAACAATGCGAACTTTGATAAGCAGTTCTCGATAATCAGTACTCAACAATTTTTTGTTATTATTAAAACTTAACATTATAAAATTAACAAAAATAATATAAAACTCATATCCTGGCTAAATAGCCACATGGCTGCCAAAAACAGTATATTCCCTTCCCGTTCTCCTGCCGTTCCCTAGCTTGTCGTGCATTCTTTCCAAAAATCAGGACTTTTTTAAAACGCTGAGGGACGCGGGACATCTGGTCACCTTACTGTAGATGCCATAATTGATTTTTGGCTGGTCATCTTGGTGATACATCCATAGAAGCTGTATTTCACAGTTTTACATTTTTAAATAATAAAACCCTATTTTAAATTGTTTTGGCTTTTTTTGTTTTCCCACTCACTCAAAGTTCCCAAAACCTGATTTTAAGAACCCCCTTCTTCTCTGATCACACTGGAATGGAAAGAACACAGGCTTTTGAGTCCCCCGAGGGCACTTCAAACCTGACTCCACCTGCCCCTTGCTCTTGGTGTAGCCTCTAGAGAAGTACGAATGACGAATGACTGACGCCCCAGAGCCCTGAGTACAGCGGGATAATGAGCCCCTGTGACAGTGCCTAGGAAGTGGCTGACACTCAATAGCTCAGAGTAGAAGGTAGAAGACCTCATACCCATCCTGGGAGGAGGGCAGTACCAGCGAGACTTCCGCGGGTATCGTCTGTCTGAGGTTCTTTCTGAGTGTCCTGGAGGCTCGGGTGGTCTTGTCTCCCTGCCTGCGTGCTGCCTAGTAACTGTTTTGTTGGGAATATAGAACTGTTTTAACTTAGGGAATGTAGCTTTAATTAAAACTGGTCTCACAAACTGATTTAATTGGTTGCTTCATGGTTGGGATATAAAGTGGCTGAAGAAAAGGGGTGTGCCATTTTCCAAGTCTTGGATTTTAAACGTGTGTGTGTGTGTGTGTGTGTGTGTGTGTATTCAAAACATACATGACTAGGATTTTTCGGCTTATTGGTCTCTGTTTATTTTTAAAGCAGGCCTCATTATCTGGTCTGAAATGTCTGCTGCTTTTCTTATTGCAACAGCCATTCTTGCAGAGCTTGGTGCGACTCATCACCATCACTTACCCAGCAGGCTTCTTCTTGCGATGGTTCTCTTCTGTCAGTGCTGCGACCAACCCATTCATCCCCGTGAAAACTGATGGGTCCCCTTCTTCCTTCCCTTCCCCTCCCCCTCCCTCCCCTTCCCTTCCCCTCCCCCTCCCTCCCCTTCCCCCCCTCCCTCCCCTCCCCCTCCCCCTCCCCCTCCCCTCCCTTCCCCTCCCCCACCCTCTCCCCCTTCCCTCCCCTCTCTTTCTCCCCCACCCCCTCACCTCCCCGTTCACCACAACAGCCTGGACATCCTAGTGAGCTGGTGTTTTTCTTTCCATTCCCACTGTGGCCTTTAGTTTCAGACTTGCATTGCTTCACATCTTAACTAGTATCGTAGCTAACGCCCGACTCAAGCTCTACCTCTTTCTGCTGCTCCTACATCCTGCTGCCAAGTGAATCCTAAAAGTTTGTCCTGCTTATGTCATTTCTCTGCTTAAAAACCTGCAGTCCCAACTCGGGCCAGCAAACAGTGTCAACGCCCTCCCCCGGCTTCAGGACTCAGACATGGCCCTGCCGCCCTGGTCACCTCCGCCCCTTCGGGCTGCTGTGCGGCCTGATTCACAGGAAGCTGGGCCCTCACTCTCACTTCCTTGAACACATTTGGTGCTTGTCCATTAAACCGCTGCTGAGTGCCAGGCACGGCCCCGCCCTGGGGGCAGCCCCTCTCATTTTGGAGCCCACGTGGGCCTTAGATGCCCTTTCTCCAAAGGTAGATTCTGCCCACCTCCCTGACGACAGACTCCCGAGCCCAGTGTTCCCGCCTTCCTCTGGGTTCCCACAGTCCTCCATTTATTCAGTTAGTCACGTGTGTGTTTGTGGCACTAATCACATTCTGCCTTATATCTTAAGTTTTTTTAAATTTTTAATTTTATTAATGAATAATTGCCTTATATTTTATGTTTATTTTTCTTTTTAAATCTTTCCTTATTTTTAACTTTACTAATGAATAATTGGCAAATATAATTGATATAATTATATACAATCATGTGCCACTTAATGACAGGGACCAGTATAAGAGGTGCGTCCTTAGACGATTCTGTTGTCGTGCTCACGCACATCGTAAGGACACTGACACAGCCTTGGGCCGGTGCAGAGCCCGCTGCTCCCCCGGCCGTAAGCCGTGCAGCGTGTCCCTGTGTGAAACAGCACAGGTTAGACCTCAGGAGGGCTGCAGCGCCCCGGAGCCACAGGGCTGCTTCAGCTCCATTGTGATCTGCAGGACCACCATCCTGTGTGGCCACGGACTGCGTGTATGACTGTATTTAAGTATACTACATGATGATTTGACACGCATATATTGTGGAAAGGTTACCAAGTCACGGTAACTAACACATCCAAAGGCATACAGTTAGCCAACAGGTGTTTGAAAAGGTGTTCAGCATCACTTACCACCAGGAAAATGCAAATCAAAATCACAGTGAGTTTTTATTTTTCTTTAAAAAGATTTCTGGGCAGCTTGAGCGCACAGACTACGTTCATCTTTATGTTCTCCATAATGCTGGCACTTTTTATTCTTAATTAAGGTTCCATATTTATTTGTTTTATGTAGGAATAAGCAAATGGACCAGGACCCTGAGTCCCCCCAGGCACCTGTTAGAAGCACTCGCCTGTTCTCAGTGCTCGCTTCCTGGGCCCCAGAGGATAATTCCTGAGTAGCATTGATCCTCATGCAACTTAGTTATTTAAGAACCTAGTTATTTAAATCTACAACTTGAGATGTCTTAATAGTCAGGATATTTGGGGAATTTTTACATGGTATGCAACTATAAATTTAATATAATCGAATCAATCTGATAATCTTAATATAACATAAACTTAATAGTTTAATCAGTTCACACACCAATCGTTCTAATACTATAGACTTTGTAAACTTACCCAGAGTGTTCTTTCCTTTCCTAGTGAAATATCATAATGATAGCCTAGGCATAGCACTTTTTCCTGTCAGTGGCTTATAGAAGTTATTTTGGTCTGTAAACAAACTTGTAGACTATCGGGGTAGGTGTTTTCCCTACTTTAAATATGATGAAACTAAAGGACAGAGAGTTGCACAATTTACAAGAAGTCAAAAGCTAATTACTGAAAAAGTCCAGGCTAACTTATCATGGGCATGATAACTGTGTATTTTCCATTACTTTAAAGATAATTTTGCTTTCTTTTTCTTTAGTGAAAGAAATGATGTCTTAAGAGAAGCTGAAATTTTACACAAAGCTAGATTTAGTTACATTCTTCCAATTTTGGGAATTTGCAATGAGCCTGAATTTTTGGGAATAGTTACTGAATACATGCCAAATGGATCATTAAATGAACTCCTGCATAGGGTAAGTATTATACATTTTCAGTGGCTGTAATTCCGTTAATGAAGCTATAAAGTGCTTCGGTTATTTGGGGATCAATATAGATGAATCAAAAAAAGAATAATGAAAAACAACGCAGTGCTAAAGTTTCACCCTCTATGGCTTCTTTTGTGTTAAAAATAATGTGAAGCCAGGCCTTCTATGCTAAGTGGTCGAGGTTCTTTTGCTTAGGTTACTGAGTTCCACACTGAATTCCAGTCCATGTGTGTAATCAGGTCTGCATGAGAGAGAGGAAAGGTAAAGGGCACACTGCATGGTCCACTGTCAGGCCGGATTTTATTTTATGTTAAGGACAACTTAGGATTCAAACTGATGTCAATAGTACCAGTTCATAAAATTCTTAATTACTGGGCCAGATATGTCTGTCGCTGAGGACCAAATGCATTGGCTTTTTATGACTGAGAATGGTGTGCGCCGCTTACTTTTTTCTCCAGGAACCAGGAACTCTGGCTTTGATTGGCATCCCATCAGGAAACAGATTTGGGGACCTCATTCTCAGACTGTGTGTGTGCATCTGTTTGCTGGAGTGGATATGATCTCCAGCCTGCAGTTTCTCTTAATCAATCTTTTTAAAACGCTCAATCTAGCCCTAGCTGGTTGGCTCAGTGGATAGAGCGTCAGCCCGCGGACTGCAGGGTTCGGGTTCAGTTCCAGTCAGGGCACATGCCCGAGGTGTGTGCTTGGTCCCCAGTGCGGGGTGAGCAGGAGGCAGCTGATCAATGATTCTCTCATCATTGATGCTTCTATCTCTTCCCTCTTCCTTCGGCTCTGAAATCAATAAAACATGTTACAAACAACAATACTCAGTCTACTTAGCGAGGTTGGTTTAGTTTAAACTAGGTAATATAAAGTGTAAAATCCTAAATCCCTGTCCATCTGTGTTCTGATGGGAGGAAGGGGCTGCTGGCAGCACAGCCTCTGGGGGAGGGACTTCCTCTTTGCCTGGGACACATCACGTTCTGGGTAAAGCAGGATGGGGTCAATGTGTGAGGTGTGTGTAACCACCACCGCAGCCCAGATGCACGTATTAATCCAGCACAACTTCTTTTTGAGAAAGAAGTAGGAATTCTAATGTGTGCTTCCCACACCCAGTGCGCAGATGTTCGGGCAGCCAGGTCTGAGCCTCCAGAATTCTAGAGCCTCCACAGGGACTGCCAACTCCTGGAAGGAGCCCTGGCCAGAAGTTCCCATGTCACACATGTGCAGAGAGGACTTCTCCCTCTGTCACCGACATAATTGTCAGAAAGTTACCTTTTGATGGAGTAAAAGATTCAGTCACTGAGTGGACGGGGCTCTGTATATATCAGAGGAACTAATGTTCAGCATGAGAATTTGTGTTTCTTTGGTTTCCTGTATTGTATTATTAGGGGGTTTGCCTTGAAGCACCCCTCCTGCCCTCATGAAAGATTGCTGAAATAAGTCAAAATCCAGTATCAGCACAAAGTATTCCAACCCACTTTCATGCCAGGTGATCACTGAACTATAAGCTGATCCATTTGCAGAAAAAAACTCTTTTTAAAAAAAGATATATTTTATTGATTTTGTACAGAGAGGAAGGGAGAGAGATAGAGAGCTAGAAACATCGATGAGGGAGAGTCATCGATCAGCTGCCTCTTGCACATCCCCCACTGGGGATATGCCCGCAACCAAGGTACATGCCCTTGACCGGAATCGAACCCGGGTCCCTTCAGTCCCCAAGCCGACGCTCTATCCATTGAGCCAAACCGGTTTCAGCAGGGAAAAAAAAAAAAAAAAACCTCTTAAGCACAGTTTGGAGCTTTCAGTAGAAGCATAGAAAATATGCCCAGATAGCCGGGACCGGTTTGGCTCAGTGGATAGAGCGTCGGCCTGGGGACTGAAAGGTCCCGGGTTTGATTCCGGTCAAGGGCATGTACCTTGGTTGCGGGCACATCCCCAGTAGGGGGTGTGCAAGAGGCAGCTGGTCGATGTTTCTCTCTCATTGACGTTTCTAACTCTCTGTTCCTCTCAATTCCTCTCTGTGTAAAATCAATAAAATGTATTTAAAAAAAAAGAAAAAAAGAAAAGAAAATATGCCCAGATAGAAAATATGCTCAGGGCCTGGTGCCTGATGATTCACTGAGAACCTTCCCTAGATACCTGATTTTTCTGAGTATACTCATTTTCCTAAGGTTCTGATTAAAATTTTATGTTCAGCTGGGACCGGTTTGGCTCAGTGGATAGAGCGTCTACCTGCCGACTGGAAGGTCCCGGGTTCGATTCCGGTCAAGGGCATGTACTGTGGTTGCGGGCACATCCCCAGTAGGGGGTGTGCAAGAGGCAGCTGATCGATGATTCTCTCTCATCGATGTTTCTAACTCTCTATCCCTCTCTCTTCCTCTCTGTGAAAAATCAATAAAAAATATATTAAAATTTTATGTTCAGAATTTATTTAATGAAAGTTCAAATGGATATCACTTGTAAGTACCAAGAAATATAAAACATTGCTTTAAATGTCTGCAATATAAATGCTTTATAAGTAAATATGAACTTTGCCTTCTTCATAAAAATAAAATTCAAGGTTAATTTTTCAAGTTGAAATGTAAATAAATTAATTACATTAGTAAAAGTGTGAAATATTAATGCTTAGTCAATAAATATAATATGGTCATACTTTTTAATAGATACAATGATTAATTTTATATTAATCAGAAAGTTAAAACATTAATTTGAATAAATGGTTTGGTACATACTAGAAACAAATTATGTGTCTGTGTGCTCTCATGTGTGCACAGGCCACTTGATATAAGCCATAAAATGGGGAGGTGGGTATGTGTGTATGTGCATGAGTGTTACATAGATTAAAAAGTAATTGAAACTGTGCCAACTGAAAAAAGATAACCAATATCATGTAGTTACATTACCAATATAGACTAAAAGGGAATAAGTATCAGTACTATAAAGTTATTTTCTCTTAAGGGTTAGGGAAATAGGATACAGTGATGTTGATGTCAAATTTGTTACTATGTAAAATAAATGAGCTTATATTTTGACCTTAATTTATGCTGTATTTCTCATTGAACATTTAACTTCCTAAGTATGAATGTATGGAAATTTGGCCACTGACTTTGGCTTTGTGTCTTCTTGCATATATGAAGAAAACGGAATATCCGGAAGTGGCCTGGCCACTGAGATTCCGCATCCTGCATGAAATCGCCCTGGGCGTGAACTACCTGCACAATATGAACCCTCCTCTTCTGCATCATGACCTGAAGACTCAGAATATCTTATTGGATAATGAATTTCATGTTAAGGTCATTACTTTTTTTTTTTTTTTTTTTTAAGTTATGTACATCCTTTGAAAAATCATTAGTAATTTTTTCACCTGGTCAAATGAATCTCTCCCTTTTCCATGTCCCTGTTACACTACAGAGATAGACCCATTACAGCACAAAATACAAAATGATTACATTCTGGATTGAAATTGTGGAGCACACCTTTTTTAACTTTCATTTTTGAATTTGTTATAGATTCATACCAAGTTTCCAAAGTAATACAGAGAGGTCCCATGTGCCCTTTACTCATTTTCTGCCAGTGGTTGCATCACACATAATGACAGTACAATTTCAAGATCAAGAATTTGGCTTTGGTGCGATGGACACATGTAGTTCTGTGTCACTTGATCACTGAGCTCAGCGCCCACACCACAGAGCACTCATGTGCTCCTTCCAGCCACACCCTCCTGCCCTGCGCCATCCCTGGCCCAGGAAACCACCCACCTGCTTTCCTCCTCTTGCATCTCGTCAATTCGGGGAGCTTCCTAAACAGAATCATAGTGTGGGAGACGTTGAGATTGGCTTTGTTTACTTAGCATAATGCCTTTGAGATCCAACCAAGTTGTTACTTGCATTAGTAATTGTTCTTTGTTTATTGCTGAAGAGATCCCACATATGGGAATACCCCTTGTTTATTCGCCTGTTGAGAGACATTGGTCATTCCAGTCTTTGGCAATTATTAGAAAGTTCCCACAAAAACTCCTGTACAACTTTTGAATGAACATTAATTTTCATTCCTCTAGGATAGATGCCCAACTACTTGGTCACATGGTAAGAGTACATTTAGCTTTTTAAGATCTATTTTATCCAACTACTTTCCACCCGAGTGGCTGCACCATTTTATATTCCACCAGCCATGCATTCTAAGACCCAGCTTTTCCACATCCTCGCCAGCATTTGGAGTTACCACCAGTTTTTATTTTGTCTGTTCTGACAAATTTGTTATAATAGCTCGTTGTGGTCTTAATTTGTACCTTCTTAATGGCTAATGATGAGCACCCTCTCATGTGCCATGTGTCATCTGTATACCTTTTCAGTGAAATGCTATGTCTGAAGCCATTTTCTGATGGGATTTTTGAGGTTTTCTTTACTGTCGGTTTTGAGAGTTGTATGTGTTTTCTTGATATGAGTCCTTCATCAGATATGTAGTTTGCTGGTGCATAGCTCGTTCTCCTGGTGCATAGCTCATTCTTTTCATTCTTTAAGCAAGTTCTTTCACAAAGATTTATTTCACAAAATCTTTCATTTTATGAAGTTCAGCTAACCATGTTTTTCTTTTAGGGTCATGCTTTCACTGTCATGACTAAGCACTCTTCAGTAAGCATAGGTATTGAAGATTTTCTTCTAGCTTATCTTCTAAAAGTTGTATCATTTTATGCTTTCGAGTTAATTTTTTCACTTTGAATTAATGTTGTATAAAGGAAAAGATGTAGGCATCTAACGGCAGCAGATATAGGGATTTCAATTACCCTTCTTAATACTAAAGTAGCTCTTTTTTACATAATATTTTGCTACATTTCAATCAATAATATATATGATTGAAGATTATTTTAAATATTAAAAATGTTCAAATAACTAATGGGGAAATTGGAACAATAGAAAAATTAGTGCAAAAAAAATGTAAGAAAATTTAAGTGAAAAATAAACCTTTGCTGATAGCACTTCCTCAGCCTTGCTAGCAAGAGAGACTAGCCGATGACATCAGTTAGGGACCCTGCTTCAGCTCTTGCGGCCTCACTGCAGCCATCCCTAGCCCCCAGGCAGTTATCCCGTGACGGGTGTTTCAACATCCATCCTGGAATGACTGCCATTTCTTATGTGATCAGCCAACACTCCTCCCCTGCCGCTCCTGCCGCTCCTGCCCACGGGCTCCAGTTCTGCCTCTGCAGGACAGCCCTGCCCCTATTTGGAAGCTATCGCTCTGCCTCAGACTGCCTGCTACCACCCCTAGCACTATTTAGATGAATCTGTGTTTCAGTCACTCAAATGTTGGTCCTCAGAACTGAACAAAACACTCTCCACTGTAGAATTGAAGGGAGGGTCCTTTACCCTAGTCCTAAAGACGTTACTTAACAGTTCCTTATAATTTATTAGCTCTGGGGGAGCAGCCATATCCCCACAGGCAGGTTGGGTCAACAGCAAGCCCTGAGGTCCGTTCTTTTCATGCATCACCACTCGAGCCACGCCGCCTCTTCATGTGCTCTACAGAGTGCATCCCGGCAGCAGAGCTTGGTCTATCTGCTGAGTGACTTCCAGATCTCTGCGGCCAGGGATGCAGTTAGCAGCACATTGACATGTTTTGTGATACACAGCTTGCTCTCACATTGACGCTGCCGGTAGTGCCGCTCCTTCCGCGAGCAGTCCCGTGAGCACGGAACTTCCGGGACTGTCCACGCGCACAGCAGCAGCCTGCGGTCTGAAATTGACACTGGTTTCCGCTTAACTTTTGTTTTTCATGAATTCTTGCTGGCTCTTTCATTAATTGCTCATTGAGTTTTATAAATTTTCTAAAATTTTAAAACCGGGGGTAAGGATAGTCTCCCGCCAGTATGGAAACTTGTGAAATCAATAATATTTTTCCTTTGTAAAAATCAGAATGACTTTCACTTTTCTCATATGCTATCCCACAAAGAACACTGATAGTACTGGGAAGTATTTGCAAATTCTCAAGAAACTGAAGTGGGGGTCTCAGAAGATGAGAGAGAGCAAGATATTGAAAACATGCTGAAAGAAATAGTGACAGAAAACTTCCCCCACCTGGTGAAAGAATTAGTCTTACAAGTCCAGGAAGCGCACAGAACTCCAAACAAAAGGAATCCAAAGAGGACCACACCAAGACAAATCATAATTAAAATTCCAAGAGCAAAAGACAAAGAGAGAATATTAAAAGCAGCAAGAGAAAAGCGGGTACCTATAAAGGAGCACCTATACAATTATCAGCTGATTTCTCAACAGAAACCATGCAGGCCAGACGGGAATGGCAAGAAATATTCAAGGTGATGAATAGTAAGAACCTACAGCCAAAGATAATCTATCCAGCAAAGCTATCACTCAGAATCGAAGGTCAGATAAAGACCTTCACTAATAAAAAAAAAGCTAAATGAGTTCATCACCACCAAACCAGAATTATATGAATTGCTGAAGGGGGTTCTTTCGGAAGAGAAAGTAAATAAAGATAAAAATTATGAACAACGAATACGTAACTATCAACAAGTGAATCTAAAAACCAAGGAAATTTTTTTTTTTAAATCTGATGAACAATATTAACTGGTGAATATAATAGAATCAGAGGTATGGAAGGGTAGTGAACTGACGATTCTTGGGGAAAGGGGGAGAGGGGGATGTGGGAAGAGACTGAACATAAACTGTGCACCTATGGATGAGGACAATGGGGAGTGGGGAAAGGGCAGAGGGTGGGGTGGGAACCTGGTGGAGGAGAGCAATGGAGGCGGGGGGGGGAATAAAGGAACATTTGTAATAATATGAACAATAAAAATTTATTTAAATAAAAGAACCTGAAGTGTATATAAAATACCTAAGACTTGCATTTTATAACCCTTTCAACTTCCTTGGAGTTGGCTTTCTGCGACTCAGTTCAGAGAATACAGAAGCAAAGTAACAGGCAATCATTCTCTTCTTTGATCAGAGAGCACCTTGGTCTTTGATGTGAATAGAATGTTTAAATAGTTTGGCTTGATGTATTTTTGTAAATTTTAATTAACTGTAGCACATACAGATAGAACTGTGACTTTTCTAATACTATTCTTATAAATTAGCAACATTCTCTTGTATTTACTGTGTCTTCACTGTTTATTTCATACATGTTCCTTAAAAGTAAAGAGTCAGCCTGACCAGCGTGGCTCTGTGGCTGAGTGTCAACCCATGAACCACGAAGTCATAGTTCCATTCCTAGTCAGAGCACTTGCCTACATGCAGGCTCACTCCCCAGTATAGGGTGTGCAAGAGGCAGCCAGTAATGATTCTCATCATCGCTGTTTCTATCTCCCTCTCCTTCTCCCTTCCTCTCTGAAATCAACAAAACCATATTTTAAAAAAAAAGCAAAAATTCCTGCCCTGTCCATGCTCAGTGGTTAGAGAATCAACCCAAGGACCAGGTTTGATTCCCAGTCAAGGACACATACCTGGTGGCAGATTTGATCCTCAGCTTGGGTCGGAGCACCTGCAGAAAGCAACCAATCAATGGGTCCCTCTCTGTCAACATTTCTCTCTGTCTTTCCCTCCCTCCCTTCCACTCTTGAAAAATCAGTGGAAAAAATATCCTCAGATAAGGATTAAAAAAAATAATAAAATATATATATATATATATATATATATATATATATATATATACACACACACAATAAAATAAAAGTAAAAATTCATCATGACTCAACAAATGTAAGAATTATCTATCTACTTATCTTCTTGGAAGAACCTTTAAATGAAGTGCAAAACATCTGTAAAAGTACTTAATAAAATTAAATGTAAATTTACACCTTTTTACAGATTTTTAAAGTACAATTTCTTACTGGAATGCTAATCAGAAACATAGTATCTAAAAGAAAAATGTTCAAATATGAGAAGAACCAAGATGGCGGCATAGATAAATGCCTGTACTTGCTGACTCTCACAACCCATCAAAATTACAACTGAAATACAGAACTAACCATCATTCAGAACCACCTGAAATCTGGCTGAATAGAAGTCCTACAACTAGAGAAGTAAAGAAAGCACACTGAGACTGGTAGGAGGCAGAGGCGTGGAATGGGCTGGTCTGACACCTATGTGTGTGCTATTTCTTTAATCGGGAGGGAGATCATCTCAATGGAGTCCTCCCTTGAGGAGCAAGGGGTCTGAGCCCCACACCAGCCCAGGCCAGGGCTCCAGAGCTGGAAAGAGAGGTCCCTGTAACTTCAGGCTATAAAATCAGCAGGGGTTGTGGCTGAGGGACACGGAGGCCTCCTCCCAGACACGTATTCTTGCAGGGGTCATTGTTCTTGTGCTGGGATCTCCCCTATCACAGGGCTGCCTAGCAACCATATGGGAGTCTCCATTAGCCTAGAGCACACTGTTTGCTCTGTCCTTGGGAGTCCCTGAGACCCTGTCCTATCCAATTCACAGGCCCACCCTAGCTGTTTGGATCAGCTTTTCTATATGAATGGCCTGTCCTGGCTCAGGCTTCAGACTTTGCTAAAATTTCTTAAGCTGCTGCTAGTGACAGTGTACCCCCAAAACCAATAAAAGGCCCAAGTCCTGCCACTCACAGCAGCCTGCCCATACACATGGGCCTTACCTGGGCACCTACAAACCCAATACAAACTGCAAATAGCAGCCATCTGCAGATCCCTCTGTATCTCCTGCCAGTTGGCCCCAGGCAATGGCTGACTTTGCACCTCCCTGGAGGCCCTAGAGCCAATGCACCCATAGATTGCTTCAGACCATAGCAAATTACAACTCTACACAGCCACAAGTGAGACACTCAAGAGGCAGACTCAGTGAGCACCAAAGCCCCACTGAAGCAAGTCCTGCTCTATAGAGGTGTTTCCTGCACAGCAGCTCTCCCATTTTAGCTACAGCTGGTCCTCACAGCCAATTGGCCTGGAGGTCAATCCCCTCCAGTGATGCCAACAGCAATCAAGGCTCAACTACAACAAGACTGTGCACACAGCCCACACAGGATAGCACCTAGAGTGCCCAGGTCAGATGACTGGGGAGGCTGAGCTGCTGGGCCCTACTGGATATCTATTACATAAAGCCACTCTACCAACCCCAGGAGACATAGCAGCTCTCTCTACCTAATACATAGAAACAAACACAGGGAAGCAGCCAAAATGTGGAGACAAAAAATCATGTCACAAATTAGAGAAATGGAAGAAAGAAAATTACTGGATACAGAGTTCAAAATCATAGTTACAAGATTATCCAAGAATCTTCATGAGACTTTTCAAGGACCTTAAAATACCAAAGACCTGAAAAAGAGAAGTCAGAAATTAAGCATACATTAACCAAAATAAAGAATAATTTAAGGGATCCAACAGTAGAGTAGAGGATGCTGAGAGTCAAATTTGTGGAATATGAGGAAGCATGAAACACCCAATCAGAAGAGCAAAAAAATAAAAATAAAATAAAAAAAGTTTCCAAAAATATGAAGATAGTGTAAGTAGCCTCTGGGACAACTTCAGGCCTACCAACATTTGCATAATGGCAGTGCCAGAAGAAGAAGAGAGAAAGCAAGATATTGAAAACCTATTTGAAGAAATAATGACTGAAAACTTCCTCCACCTGGTGAAAGAAATAGACTTACAAGTCCAGGAAGCACAGAGAACCTAAACCAAGAGAAACCCAAAGACGACCACACCAAGACACGCCATAATTAAAATGCCAAGAGCAAAAGATAAAGAGGAAATCTTAAAAGCAGCAAGAGAAAAACAGTAACCTACAAGGGAGCACCCATATAACTGTCAGCTGATTTTTCAACAGAAGCTATGCAGTCCAGACGGGAGTGGCAAGAAATATACAAAGTGATGAACAGCAAGAACCTACAACCAAGATTACGCTACCTAGCAAAGCTATCATGTAGAATTGAAGGTCAGATAAAGAGCTTCACAGATAAGAAAAAGCTAAAGGAGTTCATCACCACCAAACCAGTATTATATGAAATGCTGAAGGACACTCTTTAAGAAAAAGAAGAGACAAAAACTATGAACAATAAAATGGCAACAGATACCTATCAACAATTAAACCTAAAAATCAAAATAAACGAATAAGAAATCTAATGCACAAAATAAACTGGTGAATAAAATAGAAGCAGAAGCATGGAACAGACTGACGGATCTCAGAAGGATGTGGGGGGAGATTACCAAAGATCTTACCTATTAACACAGACTATAAGGTGGTGAAGGGGCAAGGTGGGAACTGTGGGGGGGGGGGGGGGGAATGGAAGGGGGGGGGGTAGGGGAGACGACATCTGTAATACTCTCAATAATAAATATTTTTTAAAAGAAAACGAAATTGTTTATACTAATTAAGCTCAATTTAGACTTTTCCACTTTAAAAAGTATACATTCCATTTGGTTATCTGTTGGTCAGGTGTCCATTAGGGGGTCTTAGATACAAATGAAGCAGTGACAGGCATCTTTGAAGATGAAGTGTGTGTTCTGTCTGTCCTCCCCGGAGCCAGAGCGCTCAGGGGCTTCCTCGCAGCTTGTTTGCCTTGCACAGGGATAGTGTGTGTGAACAGAGGGAGCTGATCCAGGGGGCTGGCGGGATTGTGGCTGATTGGCATGAGGCGTGTGTTTTCATGTTGAGTTTGAGAAGAAAACCTTTAGCCTGGAAATGCATGCGGAGAGCCTGTGTGGGGACAGGGTCTGCCTGCATTGCTGAGGGGTCATCTGGCCTCGAGCTGCGCTCCCCCTTCTCCTTTTGCAAGAGACGCAGCCTAAGAGCCCTGCCTTTCGTGGGGACGCTGTGTGACAGGAGGGAGACGCCTGGGCCGTGTGAAAGCCAGACTCAGCAGGAGCGAGGACCCTGGCAGTCTCCAGGCCAGGGAGAAGACAGAGAGGAGACCGTGTGTGCGTAGGGGAGCAATGGGAAGCACGCTCAGGCTGTGCTTGCTCTCACTCCATCCAGGCCAACACAGAGAACAGTTGTTTGCAAATGAGGGCTCCGGTATACATGAGGCTACACCCTACTTTTTTAGCACCTTTCTCTCTGACAGGGATAAACTGGGCTGTCCTAGAATGCTTCTTACCCTGCAGATGGCGTCAGGAGCAGTGTTGCCTTCCGAGGTGGAGGGAGGAGCAGTTTCAGTGCCGGGTCCGGAGCTCCCTGGAGCCCGCACACCCGGAGCCTTGGCCTGAGCCTGGCTCTGGGATGGGTGCATTGTGTGGACAGAGCAGCCTTCAGGAAGGAGTCCTGTGAGGAGCACCTCAGCAATGCCCGCTCAGCCCGTTTGGATCCTTCAGCACAACCCATGGTCCCCAGAATTATCACTCGCAGGCCACAGATGGGTCATCGAGGCACAGAGAAATGTTAACACTGCTCTTGTTCCACCCCTCCCCTTTGGAGTGGGACCATATTGTATCTCAAATTCATCTACACACTGAACAGAAGATTTCTTGTTGAAACTAGTGAAAATATGGGTGTTAAACAACAAGCACAGTGTCCTGGCTCAGCTGCCCTGCTCCTGGGAGCTCCACAGTGGCGGCCTGCAGACCCACAGCCATCTGCGAGGAAGAGCCTCCGCCCGCTGGACGTGTGTCTCCTTACCGTTTGTCTTCCGTTTTTAAAAAATAAGGCACCTTTTAAATACTGAGCTGGCAGGCAGAGTGTCACATGTGCAGGGGCTTACAGATAAAACTGAAGGACGGGCAGAAGCACAGGCCGGTCCGTGCCAATGCTGTAGGTGTCGTTGGCGTGGGCGTAGTGCTTTATCCTGATGGCACTGCTGCCCACAGACCTGGTTCACCCGGGAGGAGCATGAACCATAGGCTTACAAACTGCACACTGTAGGTATTTGCTTCTCTCAGAATGCAAGGCTGCTATTCTAGAGCGCTATGAACAAGAACACGTAAGCCTGAGCCATGATAACTGGAGTGAGGCTCCCACGCGATGAGGAGGTCAGCTCGGAGCGGCAGGTGGTTTGAGAAGCACATGCTGTGAAGCTGCTTGTCAGAAACAGCGTGTGCATCACTCAGAACACGGGAAAACGCCCCCTGTCCTCTGCAGAAGCTGCCTCTGAACCCTGTGGTGCTAAACTTCCATCCACTACTGGGCTCGGCACTACAGAATCAAAGAGCCTAGTGGCGTGTGTAAAAATGAAATGTTAACATATTGTATATAACATGGTTTAAAGAGAACATCTCTAAATTCGATCCCTGGCTCTTCCCTCACAGATCGCAGATTTTGGCTTATCGAAGTGGCGCCTGATGTCCCTGTCACAGTCACGGAACAGTAAGGCTGCCCCCGAAGGCGGGACCATCATTTACATGCCGCCCGAGAACTACGAGCCGGGGCAGAAAGCGAGGGCCAGCGTCAAGCACGACATATACAGGTGCGGCGCCGCTTGCTCAGCTCACCGCTGAGCGTGGAGGGAGCAGTCAGCACTGGGAAGCTGCAGTGGGAGGGTGGGGGGAACAGGGGAGCCCACGTGTGGGGGACGGGAGCCCACGTGTGGGGGAAACGGAGGCAAGGCCACGTGGGGAAATAAAGAGAGCCACGGTGACAAGTGTTTCTGAATTTAAGGACGCCTTGCTTTAAGCCACATTGAGATCCTTGAAAACATTTTGAAGCGCATCTATTCTCCTATCCATTTACGATGTAATGCTCCAGGGATCTATCACTAAAATGTGACTTTGATGTAGGTGGGGGAGGGGACATACGGAAAGGACAGCCTTTGTTTATTGCTCTCTATTTTGTGTGAATAATAAAACTCTGTAATTAGAGGATATAGCTTATCCACGTGTTTAAGAATGATTATTAAATGATTCATAAGCTATTTATGCATATCACTTCAAGTTTTTATGACAGTAACTTCCTAATTTTTCAAATTAAGCCTAATTCCCTTTCTTTTTTTCTTTTTTTAAAATCTGTACCCGAGGATATTTTTCCATTGATATTTAGGGAGAGTGGAAGAGACAGGGAGAAATATCGTTGTGAGAGAAACACATCAATTGGTTGCCTCCTGCACATGCGCCAACCAGGGCCCAGTCCAAAGGAGCCTGCAACCGAAGTATGTGCCCTTGACCAGAATCTAACCCAGGACCCTTTGGTCTGCAGGAAGATGCTCTATCCACTGAGCCAAACTGGCCGGTGCAAGATTAATTCCCTTTCAAAACAAACTGAATATTCATCATCTTGGCTGTATATGCTGATTCTGAATACAGCAGCTCACTACCTTGTCACTTTCAAAGCAGTATCTCACAGTCAGCCTTTAGATTTGGTGTGCAGTTTACCACGCAGGGCTGGTTTGTAATCTGCTGTGTACATTTTATATTCAACAGCTATGCAGTCATCATGTGGGAAGTCTTATCCAGAAAACAGCCTTTTGAGGGTGAGTGTGCGCTGACCTCCTCAGTGATGTCCTGCTGTGGGCCACATGCAGAATCTCTGTGGCTCATCGGCAGTAAGTCTGCCCCCGGCAGTTTTGTGGAAAACACACTAAAAAAGACATAACTCCCATGAACCCAGTGTACACTGAGCAGCAGACTAGATTCAGGGTCAGGAAAATCAGATGCTCGTTCTTGCTCTGACAGTAATTAGTTCTATCATCAAGCTATTACATTTCTTGAACCTTCAGTTTGTCCTCTGTAAAATGAGAATTTGTAATTCCTATTTCTAAGATTTATCCAGCTATAAAACTGTTCATATGAAAATTAATTAGTGCTCCCATATAAAGACCAGAAAACACTAAAGAATAATTCTTAAATTTTCTGAGATTATTTCTTAATATTTTTTTGTTAACCTTTATGGGAGGATATCCTTTTCATTGCTTTTTCAGAGAGAGGAAAGGAAGGAGAGGGGAGGGAGGTAGAGAAACAGAAACATCGATGTGAGAGAGACACATTGAATGGTTGCCTCCCACATGAGCCCTGATTGGCGACAGGAAGCAAACCCACTACCCACACACGTGTCCTTGACCTGGAATCAAACCTGTGACCCTGTCTAGCTGGCGTGGTTCAGTGGTTGAGCTATGACCCAGGAGGTCATGGTTCAGTTCCTCGTCAGAGTACATCCTGGGGTTGTGGGCTTGATGCTCAGTATGGAGTGCCCAGGAGGCAGCTAATCAGTGGTTTTCTCTCATCATCAAAGTTTCCATCTCTCTCTCACTCTCCTTTCCTCTCTGAAATAAATGAAAAAATATATATTTTTTAAAACCCGCGACCCCATGGTGAAATAGCTGATGCTCTAACTAACCACTGAGCTGCCGGCTGGGGCCATTTCTTACTTTGAAGTTTATATAAGTCACTTGCTGTGCAGCAGACAACCTCAGGGTCTCAGCAGCTTACAAACAAAACAGTATTCTCAGTTACATTGGATGCTAGTTGTGTAACCCAAGCACATCAAACTCAAATACTAACATGAGCCACATGAACAAGGTTTACTTGTGTGTGGGCCACAAAATAACAGAAGCTTCCATTTTCATGAAAATGTAGGTTTATTTCAATGGAGACATGCTGAATACAAAGGGCTAAAATAAATGAGTCATCATTAACATAAAATAATAGAACATTTTAATAAAAATTAATATTTTGTCTTGAACATTCACTTATCAGACACTGAATAACTGCCCAAATTAATAAGCGTAACCCAAATAAACCTATTTTTCTTGTTCTCTAAAAGCAAAATATTTCTGTTGCTCACACCAAACAACTCAGTACAAGAATAAAGATGTGGCCATCGGCTGCTAAAATACTCGCTGCTGGTGTTAGTGGAGAGAAATGGTGTGTAAGGGAAATGAATGCAACACCATTATAGTAATCAATCATTAGCAAACGATTTAGTTCATTATTAATAACTAGAGGCCCAGCGCATGAAGTTAGTGCACGGTAGGGGGCAGGGGGTCCCCTCGGCCTGGCCTACACCCTCTCGCAATCCGGGACTCCTCAGGTAGGCTCCCTAGGCCTCGCAGGCAATCAGGGCTATTGGGGCTTTCCTTCCCTTGCTGCTGGCAGCTGGCCCGCCTCTGCCGCTGCCACTGCTTGCCATCTGTGCAGTGCTGCCCCCCCACCACCACCACCAGTGGCCGGCCTCTGCGAGCAACAGGCGTGGAATATGATCGCTTGGCTGGCCTGGGCCTCCCTCTGCGGGGTGATGGCGGAGCCCTCCCCCCCCCCTCACCCCCGATCGATCGCCCCACTGCCCAGTGGCCTGGGCCTTTCTCTGCAGGGCGATGGTGGGGGCCCCAACCAATCACATCGCACTCACCTTGCCTGGCGCCAGTGTGTGTCAGCGTGGTCATCCGGAAGGTAGTCCAGATGGTCATTCTGCTGTTTAATCGTTCGGTCAATTTGCATATCATACTTGTATTATTATAGATTATGTATAACAGGGTATTGTAAAATTAAGTTATAAAACGTTTCTTGCATACCATTCTATTGGCTGGGCCGCACGTGGCGCATGGGCCGTGAATTTGACACGCTCGCCATAGCCCTTCCTGGGCTAATAAGTTCGGCTCAGCTCAGCACTGCTCACAGCCTATTGCCCAGATCATCCCACGCCCAGCCGAGGGCAGCCAGCTCCACGCTCCTCTAAGGAGCCAGGCCAGCCTCGATGCTGGGACACACTGTTCCCTTAGCAGAAAGGGCAGTGATTAGTCCTAAGACTGTTCTCTTGGTAGGCTTTAGAATGCATCTAGCATATTGGATCATAAAACTCTCCCATGAATGATGTGTATTTGTCTTGACAGACGTCACCAACCCTTTGCAGATTATGTACAGTGTGTCGCAAGGACACCGGCCCGACACCAGCGAAGAGAGCCTGCCCCCCGGAACCCCCCATCGCGCGCGGATGGTCTCCCTCATTGAAGGCGGATGGGCACAGAACCCAGACGAACGGCCGTCCTTCCTCAGTGAGTCACCCTGGCTTGGACCCTGAGTCACAAGCAGTTCGGAGACTGAGTAAATGTGCCTTGCAAAGTTTCACAAGTTAGATGGCCAGCTCGGTCACTTTTTATTTTCTCCCCTCTGGTTAGTCACGACGTTTGTACAAGGGTCACTGCTGCTAGTGCGGCACTGAGACTCTAACAGAAAGAGCCCGAGAGGGACCGTCACCATTCCTCAGCCTCAGGGCGTTCTGAGCGCTGAGCTGGCGCGGGGAACAGGGCAGTGACTGTGACTAAGTCGCTCTGTCCCTGGAGCCCACCTGCTGAAAGCAGAGAGAAACAACTAAACAAATAACCACGCCAGGCATTGTTCAAGCCCTGCAAGGCCAGGAGCAGGTGGCAAGAGGTGAGGGAGGGGGACGAGAGCCTCTTACTTAGAAGTGGAATTCGAAGCTTGAAGAGGAGGCAGCCAGGCAGCATCTTATCGCAGAGACACAGCCAGGCCGAGCTGGAGGGGAAGTCGGCATTCCGGAGGAAAGGGAAGGAAGGGCGTCACATGGGATGTGACGAGAAGGGAGGAGAGGCTGGGCTGTCATGAAGGGTTGGCTGTTCCCAGGAAGTGGGGAGCCCTGGAGGGGTGTCTCATGGACAGAGCTGATCCACTGGAGTTTATAAGTCACTTCTGCTGCTGTGTGGCCTGAGGTGGTCCCAGCCAGAGCCGGTCCTGCAGACAAGACGTGAGGCCCAGTGAGCTCTGCCTGGGAGGCAGAGGGACCATGGGCAGTGCAGGCACAGAAGGCCTGTCTGACCCCTGCATGACCTCGAGGCAGAGCTCTAGGGTGAGACTCAGGCAAGATCTATGGAAGAACTGAGACTTGGCCTTCCCAGATATTGAAAATTTTTACATTTCAAAGATTTATAAAAAATAAAAGGACAGCCACACACTTGGCATATTCATTCCAAATAAGCAATGAAATTTATTTTCCATTCAAACTCTGTCCAGTGCTCATCAGCATTATAGTAAAAGCCAGAAGCTGCAAAATAACGGGCTCACAGTGTCTCTGCCTCCCACAGCTGTCGGAGGGCACGCACCTCCTTGTCCCCAGTGCCCTTCGAAGCAGTTACTTCCGTTTCCTGAAAGCCTGGCTCTCCTGCTGATCACGTGCCAGCAGCACCTCCTGGGTTTCCCATTGCCCCTGCCTGGGCGACGGCCAACTGACTCCCGCACCCATGGATCAGGCCTCTGGCCCGGAGGAGCCCGAGAGCTTCTCTGGCCTCTGTGTGCTCTTCTCAGCCTGTCCTGCCTGCCTGTCCCCAGGCTCCACCTCACACAGGTCCCTCCCCAAGGCAGTAAGCCTGCAGTCCTGAGGCTCCCTTTCTCCCATCATTGTCCTTGTTGCCCGATAGCTGCTGTCTTAAAAACCACTCTTTCGCACGGCCGGTGAGGCTCAGTGGTTGAGCATCAACCGGTTCCCAGTCAGGGCACATGTCCAGGTTGTAGGCTCGATCCCTGGTAGGGAGCGTGCAGGAGGCAGCCGATCAGTGATTCTCTCTCATCGTGGTTGTTTCTATCTTTCTCTCCCTTCCTCTCTGAAATCAATAAAAATATATTTTTTAAAAATCCACACTGTAAGATATTTTCTCTGGTCTTTTTGGCTTTTTCAGGCCAAGTGGAAGTCCCTAGTTTCTCTTTATTTTGTTGTTTTTAATCCTTACCAAGGATATTTTTTCATTGATTTTTAGAGAGAGTGAAAGAGAGACAGACAGAAATAACAATGTGAGAGAAGCACATCAATTGATTGCCTCCTTCACACACCCAACCAGGGCCCAGACCAGGGGGGAGCTTGCAACCGAGATCGTGCCTTTAACCTGGATCGAACCCGGGACCTTTCATTGTACAGGCTGATGCCTATGCACTGAGCCAAATCAGCCAGGGCCCTGGTTTCTCTTCCAATCAATGGCCCAAACTGCGCTAAAACTGCTTCTGAAAGATCGGAACTTTCCCTCTGAGACACCCACTGCCTTGAGGGGCAGGGCTCCAGGGGCTGCTCCTGGAGACTCAGGGCTTCTCAGAACCAACACTGTTTTCAAAATAATGAATACAGGACATACTTCCCTTTTCATCACCCTTCAAGAGTGGATTTTGTAGAAGCTCAACAAGGAGTGATGATATCATTGCTCTAACATAGGGGTGTCGAACTCAATCAGAGAAGGGGCCAAAATCTAAAATCCAGCCTAAATCGCGGGCCGAATGGTTTACTGAACTGTCATAAACTGTCATTGTGATGGAAACGCAGCGGAGTGCAGTGATGACAGCGCGGTGCGGGCCACATTGCAAGGCCTGGCGGGACGGATTTGGCCTGCGGGCCTTGTGTTTGACACATGTGCTCTAACAGATAACGCAATGTGTTCTCATATACGCTTGCTTTAAGCTTTTCTGTTTTAATTTCTCATACACTAAATATCAGGGGACATGGCCACGTGTGCAGAAGCTCTTGGGGTGCTGGGTAATTGAAGAGTCCGAGCCCTAAAGGCTTGGGGGCTGCTATCTTAGATGATCATCCTGGTGTCTTCTCCTCTGGTGGTTTCCAGACACAAGAGAATACATCTCCTCCTCCATTTATCTTCCTCCTCACAACTTGCAACTGTCAGAGAGCCTCAGCCCTCTTCCAGGTCCTCGACTTCTTGCTCCATACTCTGCCTGGTGCTGCAGGCCCGCCCGCCGTGGCCCTGTCCACGTCCTCCGTGTGAGTGACACTTCCTGTGTGGCCCTGTCCACCACCTCTGGGTGAGTGACACTTCCTGTGTGGCCCTGTCCACCTCTGGGTGAGTGACACTTCCTGTGTGGCCCTGTCCACCACCTCCATGTGGCACTCAGTTTTCTATCGGGAGCGCTGGCCTCTCCCTGGAGCAGCAGGTTCCTGTCCTCCGAGTGATGTTGGTAGTTCTGAGTGTCCCCACGAGTGGGCCGCTGGAAACATTGCCGCTGTGGCTGCTCACCTGCGATCTGTGTGAACGTGTTTCCATGGCTCTCAAGTCACTACCTGTGAGTGAAAGTGCTCAGTTTTGATAAATTTATCTGCCATTTTTAAAAAACTGTCAAACTGATTTCCGTGGTGGCAGCATCATTTGCGTTTTCATCAGCAGATGTGAGGTTGCGTGTGCATGGCTGTGTACTGTTGTCTGAGCTTTAATTGCAGTTCTTTCCATGGGTGTGGAGTGCTATCTCATGTCGTTTTAATTTGCATTTCCTAGTGACTGATGATGTGAAACTTATTTTTTCATGCGCTTTTACTCATTTGTTTCTCCCCTTTGGTGAAACTGAATTTTTTGTCCATTTTAAATTGGGTCATTTGTCTGTTTAAGTCGCCCAGCGTTCTTTGTATATTCTAGACACAAGTCCTTCAGCAGACACGGGACATGCAGAAGTGGTCTGTCAGTCTGTGGCCAGTATTTCATTTTTCTTAATAGTGTCTCTTGAAGTATAAAAGTTTTCAATATTTTAAAGTTCAGTTATCAATTTTGCATGGACCCTGTTTTTAATGTCATGTCTAAGAATTCTTTGCCTAACCCAGGGCATGAAGACTCTCTCCTCTATTTCCACTTGTGCTTGTTCTGTTTCCGGTTAAGTCCACATTTGGTGTGAGGAGAAGAGTAAGTTTATGAGGGGAAGAGTAAGTCCAGGTGGCTCTCCATCTGTCCCAGCACCATTGGCAGGAATGACTATCCTGTCCCCATTAAATGTCCTTTTCAATTTTTGTCAAAATTGGAAGGATTTAACTTTAGACTCTCAGTTCTGTTTCTGTTCCTTTGATCTAGATGTCTATCTTATTTCTTCCGTCTCCCTACTCCCCTCCCCTTTCACAACCTTCCGTTTGTTCTCTGTATCTATTGTTTCTAGAGTCCGCATATATATGAAATCATATGGCATTTGTCTTTCTCTGTCTTACCTATTTCACTTAGCATAACACCCCGAGGTCCACCCTATTGTCTCAGATGGCACAATTCCTTGTTCTGCGTGGCTGGTCTGCGTTCCACTGGGGAGTGCACCGCAGCCTGACCCCTCCCTGTCAGCGGACACCAGGCTGCTCCCCTCGGGCTGTTGTAAACAAGCAGTGAACACAGGAGTGTGCGTATCTTTTCAGATGAGGGTTCTTGTTTGCTTTGGATAAATATTAGAAGTGGGGCCGAAACCGGTTTGGCTCAGTGGATAGAGCGTCAGCCTGCAGACTGAAAGGTCCCGGGTTCGATTCCGGTCAAGAGCATGTACCTTGGTTGCGGGCACATCCCCAGTGTGGAGTGTGCAAGAGGCAGCTGATTCGATGATTCTCTCTCATCGATGTTTCTAACTCTCTATCCCTCTCTCTTCATCTCTGTAAAAAATTAATAAAATAAAAAAATATATTAGAAGTGGATTGCTGAGTGATATGGAAGTTCTATTTTTAATTTCTTGAGGAACTCCATATTGCTTTCCACAGGGCTGCACCAGTTTATAGTCCCACCACATCCTCACCAGCACTTCCTATATGTTGATTTTTTCTTTTTCTTTTTTGCTACTTGTTGATTATTGATGATCAACATTGACAGGTGTGAGGTGATGCCTCATTGTGGTTTTAATTTGCATTTCCATGGTGATTAGTGATGCCAAGGACTTCCATGTATCCATTATTCATCTGTGTTTGCTCCTTGGAGAAATGTCTGTTCAGGGTCTCTGCCCACTTTTCAGTTGTGTCGCGTAAGTTGTATGTGCTCCTTATACTGTATATTTTGGATAGTAACCCCTTGTAGGATAGGTTATTTGGATGTCTTCTCCCATTGAGCATGTCGTCTTTTCATTCTGTTGACGGCTTCCTTTGCTGTGCAAAAACTTTTGTTTATGTAGTCCCACTTGTTTTTGTTTTTGTTGTCCTTGTCTGAGGAGACATGCTGGGCCTGGGGCCTTTTAGAGAGAGGTATGGGACATGCTGAGGCTGGATGCTGCTTCTTTAGGAAAATCTGAATATTAAAAAGATGTTGCTAAGACTGATGTCAGAGAGTTTATTGCCTGTTTTTTCCAGGAGTTTTATTGTTCTAGGTCTCATATTTAAGTCTAATCCATTTTACGTTTACTTTAGTTTATGGTGTATATATGATGTCTTTACGCCTGTAATAAAGGCTGTTAAGACAATTAATTGTCATTAGTGGGAAAAATTGATTTAGGCCCGCAGGAGTCCTCAAACTTTTTAAAGTGGGAGCCAGATCACGGTCCCTCAGAGAGCTGGAGGGCCGGACTATATGAACTACTAATTCCTACTGTAACACCTCGGCTGCGCTCACTGCCCAAAAAACCTGGCGGGCCGGATCAGACTCCTCTGCGGGCCGCATGTGGCCCGTGGGCCGTAGTTTGAAGACGCCTGATTTATGGCCTTATCAGCTAAATATTAGCATCTATATTATTCAATTTAATGACTAGATGCAATTTTTTTCTTATTTAGAATGTTTAATAGAGCTTGAGCCAGTCCTGAGAACATATGAAGAGATAACTTTTCTTGAAGCTGTTTTGCAACTAAAGAAAACCAAGGTAAATAATTGCTAAATGAAATGCTAGAAATCAGACTTTAAACAACCATGACTTTCAGTTTAGTTCTTAATTCTTACCTGTGTACTTTTCACAAGGATGGGCTAAGTATTGGGGAGGAGTTTGTCAGAGATTATAAATGCTGTCCTCTGTCACTGAGGGCTTTTCCATGCCATTCTGATGGCACCAGATTCCGGGCATTTCCAGAACTCTTGTCTATTACATTGTAATATGAAATGTGTCATGACACTTCTCCAAAGTGGTCATACAGATGGCCAAGAGTCCTACTGAAAAAATGCTCAGAGTCACTAATTATCAGAGAAATGACAATGAGGTACCACCTCACACCTGTCAGATTGGCTAATATCAGCAAATGACAAGTGCTGGCAAGGATGTGGAGAAAAGGGAGCCCTCGTGCACTGCTGGTGGGAATGCAGACTGGTGCAGCCACTGTGGAGAACAGTATGGAGTTTCCTCAAAAAACTAAAAATGGAACTCCCATTTGACCCAGTAGTCTCATTTCTAGGAATATATTCCAAGAAGCTGGAAACACAAATCAGAAAGATATATGCACCCCTATGTTTGTAGCAGCACAATTTACAATAGCTAAGATCTGGAAACAGCCCAAGTGCCCATCAGCAGATGAGTGGATGAAAGAGCTGTAGTAATATACACCAGGGAACGTTATGCAGCTAGTAACAAAGAAAGAACTCTTATCTTTTAGGGATGGGCCTGGAGAGCATTATGCTAAGTGAAATGAGCCAGTCAGAGAAAAACAAGTATCACACGATCTCACTCAGATGTGAAATCTTATGAACAAAATAAACTGACGAACAAAATGGATCCAGAGACATGGAAGCATGGAACAGGCTGACGGATTTCAGAGGGAAGGTGGGGTGGGTGAGTGGGTAGCAGAAGCCAGGCCAGAAGCCAGGCTCACGGCTGGCAAGCACAGCAGTGGTGGCAGAAACACTAAGGATGTCTGACTGAGCAGGCCTACGCCGTCAGTCAACATCCTCCGAGGGCTCCCAGACTGTGAGAGGGCACAGGGTGGGCTGAGGGGAACCCCTCGCCCCATGCACGAATTTTGTGTACGAGGCCTCTAGTCATTTAATAATAGCATCACTTTCATCGGTTTTTAACTTACTGTGTTGTTTTCACTTAGAGTTGTTATAGTTCTTCTTTAATTTTTTAAAGAAAAGTTTATATTGTGCGGTTGGCGTGTCTCAGTGGTTGAGCGTCAACCTGTAAACCAGGAGGTCATGGTTCATTTCCTAGTCATGGCACATGCCCTGGTTCAGGTTCAATCTTCAGTAGTAGGTAGGAAGCATCCAATCAGTGATTCTCTTCCATCATTGATGTTTCTCTCTCCCTCTCCCTTCCTCTCTGAAACCTATAAAAAAGATATATGTTTTAAATCCTTATATCAGTACTGTGAAACTCGTAGGACAGGAATCTCGTTGCCATCGCACTGGTAAGATCCCCAGTGCGTGGATGTCAGTGACACACCCACACGGGGCCTGGAATAGAATATAAATTTAAGGTTTTTCATAAAGAAATTGTTAAAACAAAGATCACCATTTGGGATAAGCTGATTTGTTTGAGAATTTTACTCATGTGATTTGTTGCTCGTGTTAAAGCACATGTATGTGTCCGCTCCAGGTGCAGAGCGCTCTGAGTGCCGTCCGCGCAGGTGACAGGAAATCGGAGGCGTCTCTGAACCTCTCTCTGAGCCACAGTCCACAGGAGGTAAACACTTCGGCCGATAAACTCAGAGTGTGAGGAGAACAGGGACGGTCATCCCGTCTTATCCTGGGAGGTCCTGGGATCTGCGGTGCCCAAGGCCGTGCCCAGGGCCGTGCCGGCTGGCAATCCCTCCTCCGGCCCCTGTGCCTCGCCCAGCCGGCCCGCGGCCTGTGGCTCTCTGTGTCCCCGCGGGCAGGCGGGAGGACGTTGCTCCGGTGCTGGGCCGTCCTGACCTAGCTCTCACTGTCCGTCTGCCTGTCCTCCCCTCCCGGGAGGAGGGCGCCACGGTGATGCTGTCACCAGGAAGGTCTGAGAGGCGCTCACCCGGGCTTGCTGCATCGGTCCCTTCTCTTAAGAGAATGTTCACTTTACGGATTCAGAAAAGACCTTCAAATGAGTGCTGCCACTCGGCACATGGTCTTTAGATCTGCTTTCCATCCGCCTCCGGCTCTCAGAGCGCGCTGCCCTTAGGTAGAGACACAGACGTCACCGGGGAGCCCGGCACCCAAGGCATGTCCGAGACCCCGCACTTCTGCAGGCCCCGGGGGTGGATGTGGGCGGAGGAGGCACCTGCCTAGGTAACCAGACTTGCAGATTTCAAATGTCTCATAAGCTGTGCAGAGCCTCTAAAATCATATAGCAAATCCTGGGAAAGCTATGATTTCTACTGTATTTAATTATTGTACACCCCCAATTTAAGTGGATTTTTAAAATCAGGTTTTTGTTTATTTGATATACTATGTGGTTTTTTTTTTCTGTAAGCTATAACTGTCGTTTTGATTATGATAAGCCACAAGCAGGAACTGTTTAGGAAGCAAAGCTACATACCGTTTAAATGGTTTTTCTTTAACCTGACCCTGGGCCCTGTTTGCCACAGGAATCGTGCGGGGCTCTTCGGCATCACGCATGCAGCAGCTCCTTCGCCAGGCTCCTGTCCGCGCCTCCGCTCGGTGACTGTGCAGCTGGTATGTATGTTCGTAGTCAGCACGGCTCACAGTTTCCCACTTTCTTTCAAGCTGGTGTTCTTGGCAAACGGTTTTTATGGCTCGTGTCTCCCATTGGCACCATGGCACATGTTCACGAGGGACACAGTACAGGCCTGGGCTGTCCATGAGACCCCTCCTGAGTGGAGGGCAGGCTGCTGGGCAGTACAGGGAGACACGGAACAGTCTCTGAGAGAGGAGCAGTGTCTGCGTGTGCACAATGTGGCCGCAGGCGGTGCAGGGGAGGTGATGGAGCTGGGGCGGGGGAAGAGGGGGGTGTCTTCCCAGCAGCCTCAGGGACCCTGGGCCCCATGGCCAGGAGCTGCACTTCGTGCTGAGAGCAGGCGTTCTGGTCCGTTCTTTCATGTCGCTCTGCTCGGCTCTGCCATCACCAAGAACTTGCTGGCGGAGACTGGACCTGTCGTTACTCAGGGTGGGCATTCCAGGCAGAGCGACAGCCTCGGGGCTCGGGTTCGAGGGGCGCACAGATGGGGAGGCCAGGTGTGGTGAGGCCGACCTGGCTGCGCTGTCTGGCTTTCCCCTGGATGGGAGCCACCTCTGCACGCTTCTGAGCAAGGGAGTGACGGCGAAGTCCTTGCTGCAGTTAAGTCAGGACCTAGCTGGACTCCATTCCATTGGGGAGAGCAAGGAGACGAGGGGGGGCCGCTGGGAGACAAGGCCTGATCAGAGCACAGGAGGGGCGGGGGTCCCCGATGGGGGAGGCCCCCTCTGGCAGGAGGGACACAGAAGCCAGGACTGGGAGGGCGTTGGTGCTAGTGATGAGACTGTTTAAAGTTGAGGTGTTAAGTTGTAATGTTTTCAGTGAGGTGTTCAGCAGCATGCATGAGGGCCATGCCCAATTGGCTGCTCAAAATGGGAGATGGAGGTTCTGTAAAGTCAGAGGAGGTAATTACTCAGACTTGGGAAGAGGTGGCTGCTGAGGCCTGCAGTGACAGGGTAACAAGGAGAACGTGGGAAACACGTCACACACCGAGTAGAGGACAGTTCCAAATGCGGAGACACAGAGGAGGGAGGGGCGACGAGAGAAGCAAGATCCATGATGTGTCATTCACATGGGCACAGCAGGGAGGGTCCGGGAAAGCGTTCGGGTAAGCCCTCCTGCTCTCAGGAGCGTTCACTCCCAGCCCAGGGGTGCACGCAACTCGAGCAGCAGAGGGTGGACACTGCTGTCCTCCCCGTGTGACACTGCTGTCCTCCCCGTGTGACACTGCCGTCCTCCCTGTGTGACACAGCCGTCCTCCCCGTGTGGCACGGCCGTCCTCCCCGTGTGACACTGCTGTCCTCCCCGTGTGACACCGCTCTCCTCCCCGTGTGACACGGCCGTACTCCCCGTGTGACACGGCCCTCCTCCCCGTGTGACACTGCTGTCCTCCCCGTGTGACACTGCTGTTCTCCCAGTGTGACACTGCTGTCCTCCCCGTGTGACACGGCCGTCCTCCCCGTGTGACACGGCCGTCCTCCCCGTGTGACACGGCCCTCCTCCCCGTGTGACACGGCCCTCCTCCCCGTGTGACACGGCCGTCCTCCCCGTGTGACACGGCCCTCCTCCCCGTGTGACACGGCCGTCCTCCCCGTGTGACACGGCCGTCCTCCCCGTGTGACACGGCCCTCCTCCCCGTGTGACACGGCCCTCCTCCCCGTGTGACACGGCCCTCCTCCCCGTGTGACACGGCCCTCCTCCCCGTGTGACACGGCCGTCCTCCCCGTGTGACACGGCCGTCCTCCCCGTGTGACACGGCTCTCCTCCCCGTGTGACACGGCTGTCCTCCCCGTGTGACACCGCTGTCCTCCCCGTGTGACACGGCTGTCCTCCCCGTGTGACACTGCTGTCCTCCCCGTGTGACACTGCCGCCTCCCCGTGTGACACCGCTCTCCTCCCCGTGTGACAGTGCTGTCCTCCCCGTGTGACACCGCTCTCCTCCCCGTGTGACACTGCTGTCCTCCCCGTGTGACACTGCCGCCTCCCCGTGTGACACGGCCGTCCTCCCCGTGTGACACAGCCGTCCTCCCCGTGTGACACGCTGTCCTCCCCGTGTGACACTGCTGTCTTCCCCGTGTGACACCGCTCTCCTCCCTGTGTGACACTGCTGTCCTCCCCGTGTGACACCGCTCTCCTCCCCATGTGACAGTGCTGTCCTCCCCGTGTGACACCGCTCTCCTCCCCGTGTGACACGCTGTCCTCCCCGTGTGACACCGCTCTCCTCCCCGTGTGACACTGCTGTCCTTCCCGTGTGACACGGCCGTCCTCCCCGTGTGACATGCTGTCCTCCCCGTGTGACACTGCTGTCCTCCCCGTGTGACACCACTGTCCTCCCCGTGTGACAGGGCTGTCCTCCCCGTGTGATACTGCTGTCCTTCCCGTGTGACAGGGCTGTCCTCCCCGTGTGACCATGCTGCCCAGAGCTGCAGGAGAGCTGGGACGCCCTCCCCCAGCGGCAATGCTGTCTTTCAGGAAAAACCCCGGACGGCCCGGCCCTGCTTCCCCACCCGGCCAACCACAACAGTGATGACGTGTCCGCGGCTCCCACGGCCCTGTTCTGTGACCAGGAGACCGCCCCGTGCTCCCTGGCAATACACCCTCTCTCAGCCGAGGGAAATTCAGGTAAATTTCGGCTGCGACACGCATCAGTGGTGCCGCTCAGCTCTACACTCTGCTCAGTAGGTCTGCCAGGTCAGTGGTTCTGTCTTCACTCCCCAAGATGGCAAACATGTGCATTCTGCAGTCGGGAAGCACTTCCAGCCCCAGCACCAGGGGCCGCGCAGTCACGGCTCAGGGGCCATATGTCACAGCTCAGGTGCCGCGCGGTCACAGCTCAGGGGCCATATGTCACAGCTCAGGTGCCGCGCGGTCACAGCTCAGGGGCCGCGCGGTCACAGCTCAGGGGCCATATGTCACAGCTCAGTGGCGATTCCTCAAGGTCTGGGGAGGGAAGGTGGCTGGGCCCTGGGGTGACCGGGAGCGTTACTAAAGGCAAAGTTGCTTTTGTTTATCTAACACACATGTGTCAAACACAAGGCCCGCGGGCCAAATCCGTCCCACCAGGCCTTGCAATGTGGCCCGCACCACGCTGTCATCACTGCACTCCGCTGCGTTTCCATCACAATGACAGTTTATGACTGTTCAGTAAACCATTCGGCCCGCGATTTAGGCTGGATTTTAGATTTTGGCCCCTTCTCTGATTGAGTTCAACACCCCTAATCTAACAAATATGCAGGTATCTTTTACACATTTTTTTAAAACCTGGAAAATGGTTTTGCCCCACCATTTATAGCAGATAAAAAGGGAGTGCTTTTCCAGGAGGGATGAGAAGAGAAAATTAACAGCATCCCCCAAATGCTGGTTTTCCACGTTAGCACAGTCACAGTGACACACAGTGTGTGCCTCCGTGTTTATTTCCATCTTGTTTTCTGCCTCACACGTCTTTCCTCACTTTCCCGCCGGCACCGTGCAGAGCGCCCGCAGCCCGGGGTGGCCCAGCAGTGGATCCAGAGCAAAAGGGAGGAGGTCGTGAGCCAGATGACCGAGGCCTGCCTCAACCAGGCGCTGGACGCCCTGCTGTCTCGGGACCTGATCATGAAGGAAGACTACGAACTCGTCAGCACCAAGCCTACGAGGACCGCCAAGGTCAGGCAGTTACTGGACACCACTGACATCCAGGGAGAGGACTTCGCCAGAGTCATAGTGCAGAAGCTCAAGGACAACAAGCAGCTGGGCCTCCAGCCCTACCCGGAAATCCTGCCGGCTTCTCGGCCGCCATCCCTACTCTTGGTTCAGAATAAAAGCGTATAGGGGACTCGTCTTCAAGAAGAAAAGTCAGCTTATTAAAAGGTATTTTATATTTCTCTTGCCCTGATCAGATTGTTTTTATGAAGTCCATGTGAGTCTTAGAAGCTTTAATGAAGTTTCTCCTTCAGGTAAAACAGTAGCCTCCTCCGCGACATCACAGTCTTTAAAATTAAAATAGTAGAAGGTATGCATTTTGCTACATAGCTCAATTTTTGTCTCTCTAGTTAATTGAAGCTATTTTTTTTTTTGTCTTATTTATTTTTACTGATTTTAGAGAGAGGGGAGAGGAGAGCGAGAGGGAGGAAGAAACGTCGACTGGTTGCCTCCATTCACACCGCGATGGGAGCGAAGCTGACAGCTAGGTGTGTGCGGGACTGGGAGCCGCCCCTGAGCCTGTTTGTGGTGCCTGGAGCAGTGCGCCCACCAGCGCCACCACCAGCTGGGCATGGAGCCATCTCCAACGTGCCTGCGCTTCCTGGCACGGTGACTGCGGCATCGGCGCGCCCATGGAAGCGCCTCACATCACTGGGTCCTCATGGCTGTGTGAGCGGCTTGGCGTGTGCGCTACGCCCTCTGACCGGCCCTCCGCTCCGGCCTCCCCCACGGTGTGCATTAGACCGCTCCAGAATATGTTCTTGTGTTTAATATATTTTATTGGTGTCAGAGAAAGGGAGAGGGAGAGAGAGAGAGACATCAATAATAAGAGAGAATCACTGATCTGCTGCCTCCTGGGGACCGAGCCCGAAACCAGGCATGTGCCCTGACCAGGAATCAAACCATGACCTGGTTCCGAGGTCGACACTCAAACACTGAGCCACGCTGGCCAGGCCAGATTGCATTTTTAAATGTTATTTATTGAATTCTTCTTTTAAAACTTGTTTAATGAGTAAGACAATACAAGTATATAAAGAAAAATATTCATCTTTCAATATGTGTTTCTACCTCCGTTTCTGACCTCGGCAGACAGCCTGGGTGTGCACAGGTGCTGGTCCTTGCTCCTCCGTCCTCCCCGGGAGGCGTCTCCTCGCAGCATTGCAGCAGCAGCTGCTCTGGGCCGGTCTCGCAGAGCCTCGCCCATCGTCTAGCAGCTGCGTAATGCCTCAGGGCGACTTTTTCCTTTTCCCTTTTTTCTAATATGTTTTACAGATTTTTAGAGAGAGCAGAAGGGAGGGGGAGAGAGAAATAGCAACATTGATGAGAGAGAACCATCAATAGGCTGCCTCCTGCATTTCCTGCTGGGGATCGAGCCTGAAACCCTGGCATGCTCCCTGCTCCTTGGCTCCTGGGTTGATGTTCAACCACTGAGCCACACCGGCAGGACGGCCTTTTCTTTTTCTTTTCTTTTTTTTAAGATACAGTGAGTTCTTTTTTGGTTAATTGGGTTATGTCACTAAGTGAAAATGTACAAGGAATAATGAATGCCCTTTTCTGAAAATGTTTGTTGCAATGTCAGCAAAAAGCTTGACACAGGACAGATGGGAAAGCACAGCTCTCGGGCTCTGCACCCTCAGTGAGAACATGAGGAAAAGTGAGATGACAGATGGTGTTGAGGCACCTAAAGACTCTACTACAGCATGTATTTCCCTCTCCGTGTTGGAGCTCACATTCGCCTGTGGTGCCTGTGGAATACGGAATTTCCGTGAGAGACGGAGCACGTGGGGGAGCTTCTGTTACTGCGCCTGTCCTTTTTAAAGTGCGAGGCTACAGTTCAATAAAGTTCAATAAATCAAGGGAAAAGTGTCTTTTCTTTTGAAGGTTTTCCCCTTTCTGTACACATATCCTAAAGTCTCAATTATTTTAAATCTTGTTGGTTTCCAGTCGGCCTTCGTATCGGTTTGACGATGTGCTCCTCTGGTGGCAACGTGAACTCTGCCATGGTCTTCCATTCCGTCTGATCTGAACACTGGGCCTCCCGCCACTCTGCGTGTGGTCTGCCATCCCCGTGACTGGCCATCAGGGAGCACGTGCCAGGTCCCCCGTGACTGGCCATCAGGGAGCACGTGCCAAGTCCCCCATGACTGGCCATCAGGGAGCACGTGCCAGGTCCCAGTGACTGGCCATCAGGGAGCACGTGCCAGGTCCCCCGTGACTGGCCATCAGGGAGCACTGCCAGGTCCCCCGTGACTGGCCATCAGGGAGCACTGCCAGGACTGATGGCCACGCGGTGAGGCAGAGGGAGCGGTCCCGGGGACCTGCAGTCAGCCTCCAGAACTGGTGCCCCTGCGGCCGGGACTCTGGCCTGTGGTCGGAGCTCCTCCTCCGCCTTCTGGTTCAGTAGATGTCACCCCGTCACTCACCTCTTGTGGACAGAGAAGAGGCTCAGGCTCAGCCCTGCACCCCAACACAGCACACACCCTCTTCTCATTCTCCAAGTTGCTCTTTGTCTGAAAAGGACCGTCTGCCTGTGCCGCTGGCGGTGGTTTCCGTGTGGACATGGCGGCTCTGGGCTTTCCCGAAGGGGAAGGGAGCGGAGTGCAGAGCGCCCCGCCGGCCTGGGCCCGCAGGAGGACGCGGGTGCGGGTGCAGCGTGCCGGGGGGACCGCGCAGTCCGGGCCTGGTGCCGAGCGGAGGAGCTGCATGGCACTGCCCCGGGGAGGACACGCACCCCACGGCCGGCCTGGCCTCACATTAAAGGTGGGGCTTGTGCGGGAGCCGGCGTCTCTCAGCGCCACTGGCTCCTCGTCTCGGACGGACCTCCGAGGGCACATTTCACGTTTTGCAGCCGCGCTGACCTCCGGCAGCACCATCACACTTGGTGTTTTAGGAAGATCGCCGACAGGAGAGCCGTCACCCGGAGCCACAGCCGGCTTTCCATGGAGGAAGGCAGGGAGCCGGCCGTGCGCGGGGCAGAGCGAGGCGGGGACAGGCTGAGCTGAGCCAGCGCTCACCACCCCTCCCCCCGTGACCCCCCACCCTCCATGCCCTGACCCCCCACCCCTCCCCCCGTGACCCCCCACCCCTCCCCGTCCTGACCCCGCTACCCCTCTGCGCCCTGACCCCCCACCCCTCCCCGTCCTGACCCCCCACCCCTCCCCCATGACCCCCCACCCCTCCCCGTCCCTGACCCCCACCCCTCCCCGTCCTGACCCCCCCACCCCTCCCCGTCCTGACCCCCACTTCTCCCCGTCCTGACCCCCCCACCCCTCCCCGTCCTGACCCCCCACCCCTCCCCGTCCTGACCCCGCCACCCCTCTGCGCCCTGAACCCCCACCCCTCCCCGTCCTGACCCCCCACCCCTCCCCGTCCTGACCCCCCACCCTCCCCGTCCTGACCCCCACCCCTCCCCGTCCTGACCCCCCACCCCTCCCCGTCCTGACCCCCGCCACCCCTCCCCCTCCCCGCCCTGACCCCCCCCCCCCCCCTCCTGACCCCCCCACCCCTCCCCGTCCTGACCCCCCCACCCCTCCCCGTCCTGACCCCCACCCCTCCCCGTCCTGACCCCCCACCCCTCCCCTCCTGACCCCCCACCCCCCACGCCCTGACCCCACCCACCCCTCCCCATCCTGACCCCCCACCCCTCCCCCTGACCCCCCCCCCCCCGCCCTGACCCCCCCCCCCCCCCCCCCTGACCCCTCACCCCTCCCCGTCCTGACCCCCCACCCCTCCCCGTCCTGACCCCGCCACCCCTCCGCGCCCTGACCCCCCACCACCCCTCCCCATCCTGGACCCCCCCCCCCCCCCCCCCCATGACCCCCCACCCTCCATGCCCTGACCCCCCACCCCTCCCCCCATGACCCCTCACCCCTCCCCCGTCCTGACACCCCCCCTCTCCCCGTCCTGACCCCCCCCCCTCCCCGTCCTGACCCCCCCACCCCTCCCCGTCCTGACCCCCCACCCCTCCCACCCATGACCCCCCACCCCTCCCCATTGACCCCCACCCCCCCCATCCCGTCCTGACCCCCCACCCCTCCCCATCCTGACCCCACCCCTCCCCCCCTGACCCCCCACCCTCCCCGACCCCCCACCCCTCCCCTGCCACCCCCTCCCGTCCTGACCCCCCACCCCTCCCCCGTCCTGACCCCCCAACCCTCCCCTGACCCCGCCCCTCCCCGTCCTGACCCCCACCCCTCCCCATCCTGACCCCCCACCCCTCCCGTCCTGACCCCCCGCCCCTCCCCGTCCTGACCCTCCACCCTTCCCCATCCTGACCCTGCCACCGCTGGCAGTCAGCCCTGGTTTGGTTTAGGTTGGCATTTGGCCGTCCCACCAGAACTTGGTCCCAGCAGAGGTTTCTCCTCTGAAGCCCGGAGCCTGGTTCCCCAGCCCCTGTTTCCCTGAGGGTTTCCCCTCAGAACTCTCGGTTCCCGAAACCAAACCCTCCCTTTGCCGCCCCTCCCTTCTAGTCCTCTTCCTGGAAAACGGTTCTACGGCCTCGTCCTCCTTACTCATTTCCCTCCTTGTCACTCACATCGTCACTCAGCAGTACCGAGTGACGGCTGGTGGACGGACCAGCGCGCCTGGATGTGCCGCAGTCCCCCCCGGAGGCTGAGCACCGGACATTCCTCTGGAAACCCCCGATGGTGGGAACTGACTCACAGCCATCCCCCCAGGACTGTGGCCCCTCCCCCGATGGCTGTGCCCCCTACCCCCAGGACTGTGGCCCCTCCCCCCAGGACTGTGGCCTCTCCCCCAATAGTGTGCCCCCTCCCCCTAGGACTGTGTCCCTTCCCCCTAGGACTGTGTCCCCCTTCCCCTAAAGCTCTGCCCCCTCCCCCGATGGCTGTGCCCCCTCCCCCCAGGGCTGTGTCCCCCTTCCCCTAAAGCTCTGCCCCCTCCCCCGATGGCTGTGCCCCCTCCCCCCAGGGCTGTGTCCCCCTTCCCCTAAAGCTCTGCCCCCTCCCCCGATGGCTGTACCCTCTCCCCCCAGGGCTGTGTCCCCTCCCATACAGCTCTGCCTCCTCCTCCCATGGCTGTGTCCCCCTCCCCGAACCCTCCGAGGGCTGTGTCCCTCTGAAGACTGGGCCCCTCCCTGGAGCTCTCGCCAGCACAGGGTCCGTCCATATCACTAACAAACCGAGAGCCACGTGCCAGCAGTCACATGTCACTGTTGAA